GACAATTATACGTAGGTTAGCTGATTGACAATGAACGGGAGGAGGACGAAAGGCTTTGACATCTTAGTCCACTCTTCTGCTTTTGAAAACGGATAGTACGAGGACGAGCACATTGGACCCTCTGCCCTAGATCGCCGACACGTTCCAAAATGACACGCGCTTTTCGCTTTTCCAGCGAGAAGTGAGAACTGCATCTTATAGTGTTGTGAATGGACGGTTACAAAAGGAGGCAGATATGTGTGTGTTTATATATATATATATATATATATATATATATAATTAATTCCATGATTTTTTTTTGGGAGGGGGGTAAGATTTATGAAGATGTATTACTTAAGGGGCATGCTCACATTTTTGTAAAATATTTGGGGCATGAAGGATAATATTCACAAGGATGTAAATGAAAACATTTAGAATCTTAAAGGGATATAAAAGGACTTTTACAGTCTTGGGTGGGTAGGGGGAGAGGGGCGAAACCTAAATTTTAGAAAGATATATGTGAAACATTTTCAATTATTTAGAGGACGTAGAAGAACTTCTGAAATCTTGGAGGTAGGTGCTCTTTCCAACCCATCCGCCCTCCCCTCTTGCATCCACTGGTTTATACAAGTATTTCCCCGAAAGGAAAGTGGTCTGTTTGGATTGTAAGTTATTTGGGATTATTTGGAATATTTTTACTGTAACACTTTTTGTGATGTGATGTATGTGAGATAAAAAGATATTGGGAAGATAAAAAGGTGTATTAAAAATTATAAAGATGATGTAAGCAAATAAAATTGGGAAAATATGAAACAATGCAAACAAACCCCCGGGATCAAGAATGTACGAATAATTGTCATATGGATAATGCCAATAGTGGTGGCTTAATTCTCGATAGATATCATCTATGATACCATGAAGAGTATTTGACATGCCTCACAACCTACTAATTTATGCCGCAATGACTGAAGCAAAACATGCAGTTTTTGATCGCTAATGCAATGAAGTAATTCATCAGTGGAATTTTTTTTTTTGTTTCGGGTGGGGAGTGGTTTGGATTAGGGAGGCAAACAAATTGAGTCGAATTTCAACTTAATTTTATAAAGGTCGAACTCGAGGTCGTAAAAGTAAAATGATAATATTTTTTAATAAATAATAAAATATTAAGAATATATATATATAATTTTACTATTAAAATTAAATATATATAAAATCGAACCAACTCGCGAGCTAATAAGTTGAATATTTTTGAATTTGAGTTTGGCTTAATCAGCTCGAACTCGATGTTGATCGAGTTCAAACTAACCGATCGCGATTCGATTCGTTTACAACCTTAATTTATAGTGCGTCTTTAACATTGAACATTTTTTTTTTCCTGACTTTGCATATTCACAGAGTTCAAATTTCGCGTGCTGCATCTTGATGATAAGTTAGCCATCTCCTCTTAGGTCTTACCTCCACGTTGCTGAAGCTTAAAAGCGATGTTGGGTTTTGGAGCAAGAAATCTTGAACGAGGAGACGCATCAAGGCTTCTTTTTTTTTTTCGGTCGACGAACCAAAGCGCGTGAATTTGGCTGAAGCAGGGTGTAGTTAATTCCATCAGCCTTTGATGGAGAGTTATTACTATTATTTTGGGATGGAATGGACCGTTCAAATGCTGATAATTGCTGTATAGGATGCTTGCCCGCCCACGTGTTACAAGACTACTTAATGCTGCAGAAGAAACTGCATCGCATTGATGAATTCTTGTTTTGTTTAATCAAAACAATCAATCTCTGTCATCAGTCAGTCATCCCTCTACATCTCAACAAAACAAAAAGGATTATTATTATGTACCAGAAACGGAAAAGATAGAAGACGAAGAGGTCGGCCGGCCGGTCCTTTATCAAAATTACCCGCTACATAGGAATGTCACTCTACGAAATAATAATAATAATAAATAATAAAAAGCACCCTTAGTCCCAACCGCCAAAATGCCACACGGCACCACCAAACTGCGGCCACTTTGATTAGTCCCACCTCTCCTAATCCAATTATTTTATGCTGTGGCTCTTTAACGACCAACGGCCCAGAAAACTTTCCTTTCCTCTCAACAGTTAGGAACCTGATGCTGATGCTCATCGCCACTCTCTCTCTACAAAGACCAACATGTCCCTGTCCTCCATCCCATCGTCCACCTGCATTTTCAATTCAAACTCTTCCGCCGTCCAGAATTCCATCCAAACCTCTGAAACGGTGTAGCGTAGTAGGAGTAGCAGTAGTAGCGTTGCTGTTGCATGATTTTCACTGTTGCTAATCACATCTTCTCTTCAAATAAGGGAAGGTGGAATTTTTCCTCATCTTCTGCTTAGGTGTCAGACATGAAAGATTCAACTTGATAGCATGCCGTCAGTATTGAATATGCGTAATTAATGATAATGGGACGTGAAATATCTTGACCATTTACCAGTAGTGGATTTTGGTTGGCATGGTAGCTAATTACCCCGACAATGTTCAGTCTACGGCTGCAGCAACGGATCGTACAGCTATGGAAGTCAGTACAACCGGCTGCTTCTTCAGTAGCCCGGCTGCATTAAACGGTAGCAGACAGCCTAGCCTATGCTCTCAGTAAATTCTGAGAAATTGGTTTTCATAGCCGCCCTCTAGTCTAGGGGCAGTAGATATATGTAAACGTGACTCTCTGTGTTTGGATTCATATTTTTTTTTTTCAAAAATAATAAGTTTTACAAATAAAATGCTACGATAATACACAATAACTTACAAAAAAAAAAAAATATCTTAATTTTTCAAAAACAACTAATTCAAACAAAAATTAATTTGATTGAGATCTCTTATTTACAATTTCTCCTATCTTATCATCCAATCTAATCATTTTTTAGGATTAGTTAGATACTGATTCACTGTGCACCATCAATTTCCAAATATGAAATCCAAACATTAATTCTTAGAAAAATCCTTAAATCTATAATTAGATATAATTATTCCAACTTAAATTTATAGACACACCCTACCGCCATTACCATTACTTCTAGAACTCAGGAAAGGAGGCAAATATGCTAGAAGTTGGTGTGATTAATGGATTGGTGAGCTCATGTGCACGAACATGGATGTCGCCGTCCGGATTCAATACATGACTGCCGGGATCACGTTGTTGGTCTCTCATTCACGAAGCACTTTTCACAATTTCACTTGGTTTTTATTTTCTGCTTAAAATATCTGGAGACGGTGGACACATGTACGCTAGGGATAACAGAAGTGCTAAAGTGGAGCATCAACATTCAAAGGTTATAATCAGGATCTAGCTTTCTTCGCTTTGATCATGTGGATTGGATTGTCCGCAGCCGAGAAAAGGAATTGTAAAAGGAAATGCTAACGAATCAGTAACTGGTTCCATAAAAAGAAATTCCAAGAACCAACCAGATGAGGACACCAATATGGATGATGATATAACCATATTGTCAGCATTCGATGCTGTTGTTGACTCTCTCCATTACTTACAACTAGTATTCAATAATCCGACCTTCCATGCATTGACAAACTATAAAGCATTATACGTTTGGAAATGAATACATTTCCACATGTGGAGCATATATATATTTTTTTTTTGTAAAAAAAAAAAAAAAAAACTTACGAAGTACGTCAGATTGCTATATTATATCATTTTCGTCCTATTGAAAGTATCATATTTTTCATTTTAGAATGTTTTAAAATATTTGTCATGTTGATAAAGTCAAAACATTTTTTAGTATTTCCTTTCAATATAGTCCATTTCTCAATTAATCAAATGCATATTATTATTATTATTATTCAAATTCAAAATTTGAATTTGCGTGGGTAAGATTTGAAAAAGAAGCATAAACATCACAATCAAACCACTATTTGTTAAAAAAATTGGATTTGTGAAATATGACAAAATAATTAGGATGGAGGGAGCATTTTTTTTTCAATAAAAATTCTAAAAAATAGCAATCTAAACAGGACCTTCTAGTGCCCCAAGCTACTACCAGGATAGTCATTCCTAATAGCTTGAGAACCCCTAGGACTTCCACTTTTACAAGATTATCAAAAAGTAAAATAGAAACAAAAAAAATTCTCCAAGAAAAATTTTTCTAATCCTCCTAGAAACAGAAGGGTAATGCCAAAAACAACTTGCTAAAATCATGCAAGCAGAAACAAGCCAAGGCATGAACTTTTAACTCGAACAACTTATAATTTTAGTTTCCTTTTAAAAATAGTGATCAAGATATCATCATCACGAGATGTCTTAAAGTAGGACTAAGAATGAGCAAGCAAGAAATTTTGACAAGAAATAAGTTTCAAATCCCATTTTGCACTTTACAACCAAGACCATAAGGCTTCAAATTCTAACAAGACAAGATCCATTGGCATGTCTTTGGGCTGATACCCACGTCAACTTTATTCCTCTCACTGAAAGAATGAGACTAAAGAGAATCCAAGCATATTTTAACTAAACTCTGAGAGATGCTCAAAACCAGTGAACAGATTTTCCTTTCTTTTTTTTTTTTTTTTTTTTTTTTGAGGGAAAGCAGTGAACAGATTCAATGCAACAGAGTATCAACCAAAGAACCATGAATATCTTGTTTTTAAAACCATGAATAATTCCTTTACTGTTTTCCTTGACCATCATTCTTATTATACAATGAAGGGCTACTGAAATAATAATAATGGTTGTTGACTGCTGCCGGGAAAAAAACTTCCCTTGACTTTGGACGACTTATTAAATCGTTTTCTCTAAAAGAGCAGATACCATTTTATTTTTTCCTATTGTCATATTTGAGTTTATTAAGAACTTGTCTCTTTAAATAAAGAAATTAGAAACACCACTACCAACTGAAGAACCTCTTTTTTGTTTTTTTTGAAGGAAAACTAACTGAAGAGCTTAATTCGCACCTGTAATACCCAAATCCCAAATACCCAAAGTTTATTCAATTTTCAAAAGGTTGTTTAAAGACAGTAACTCATTTCATTTTAGGTAGCATTGTGTTCATATTCATCAAAAGGAAACAAACTATGGCATGATCATTCACTTGTAAGTCCGCCTACTACTCTACAACTGGATCACAGAAAAATGTTTATCGGATCAGCAGTGCTGCAGTCACCACTGTACTCCAAATGATATAAACGAGGTGCGTGGACCAGATTGATTTCGGTGTTTGTATCATCACCCCACTGTCACCAACTTACATTTAGATTTTGATGTTTGTGGCCATCACCAGATTGCTAACAAACTCAATAAATAGTCAACGACCCATTAAAAAAAAAATGAAATTTCAGTCACAAATCAACTTCAGCATAATGGAATCAGCTATAATAGCCTTTACGACTGCTAGTATTCTCCTCCAAACAAAAAGCGGTACTATTTCCATTCAGTAAAACGTCTGATACCCTTAATGGCGTCAACAGTGCAAAATTAGCTCACTGAAAAGGTTTAACCTACATTTTCAAAATCAAATATCAGGATCATGGACATAACTCCCTACTACAAACAGATGCCTTTGCAGAACCAAAAGAATGTCTTTCTTTTTTCCATAAGACACAAGTTAGCTGGCCAGCTAACACCGGCACAAATAAATATGAAAGTTTTTGAGCGGCGTTTGCTCCAACAATTGCAGTTATATTTCCTTGAATCTCTATTTATATGCTCAGAATTTCCAGTGAAACTAGGAATGATGCATGGTTTTTCTTCCTGTAGCAATTTAAAAGTCATGACTATAAGTGCAAAAATGAGAAGTATTATCCTACAACCTTCAAATCATAGTAAACTCTCAAGATTACAAGGAAAGAGCACAATATCAGCTAATTGAGAATAATACCACAATAAGAATAGAAAGTCAGAGAATTATAACCTTTACAACTAGTTTATCTGTCTTCCTTGCATTTCATTGATAACATAAATAAATAAAGTAATACGGGATACAAAGTCCACAACTGAACCAAAAAGGGAAGTTTATCTGTGCATGTATTGCAGAATCACGGAACACATGGCTTGAAAAGAAGGAAAACAAAGAAATATACACCAGTATTCCATACTAAAAGAAAGGTCCTAGTAATATGCTCTAGTTATAACACCAGAATTTCTACTCACACCGTCTAACAAGCACAAAAAATCTTTCAGGCAGGTGAAAGACGAACTAAACAATAGGCAGGAAATATCCTTACGGTAGATTTCTAGCTCTGAACAAATTGAGAAGTTTACCTTCAATCACTACGCCTAGGCTTCTTAAAATGTCTTATGATAAAAGTTTCTGCATACAGTGGATAATTTTTTCTGATCAAACCCTTTATACATTTCCAGTATGAAAAGTCAACCAGCTCTCCATCCTTTCGGACTATGAATAAGCATCGTGATCTATCGAAATCAGGATGATAGCCAATCTGTCAACCAGAACACATAAAATTGCAGCATCGATCAATTTTGTCCGAGTGACATGCAGTATATAGCACTTTTGGTATTAGTAGTAATAACAGCATATACTCAGCAGTAAAAAAAAACACATGCGGCAGCACTTATTCTTTGTTATAATACCAGCAATACTAATAGTGTAGGAGTTGTGGCAGCAACAGCTAAACATTTTACCCAGAGACAAGGGAAGCTGTATTTCATTTTGTCTCAAACTAAAATGATACATAAATCATGTCTGTTAGACCTGTTTTTATCTCTAAAATTCTTTGATTGTGTTGTCACCAAGAAGAACAAGGAGAGATAAGAAGATCTTGATGCGTGGTTATAATGATAATATGCTCAGTAGCAAATTTGACAAACAGTTAAAGTGGACCAATAGCTGAAGAACTTCACTTGAGCAAAAACCATAGAATATGTCTTCCCCAACCTATGGTCAAATGAGTTGATAATCTCTAAACTTCCACTTCAAGCTAAAGCATGGATTGTAGTTCCAAAAGAAAAAAAAGAAAAATCCTTCAAGTATCTCTTAAACATTGGCAGAAGTGAATGAAATGGTAGGGGTAAATATCATTTGTCAAGTCAGTGGTGGTGCAATACGAACAGTCAGCTCATATCTGTAACAGATTTTTTTCTTTTTTTGTTCGAAGCATCTGTATGGAATGCTATCATGTATACTTTCAACTACCAGTCACAAGATAAAGCTAAGAAAAAGGTTTTACAGAGTCAACCCGAAATATTCTGGGATAAGGTTTTAGTTTAGTTCAGTCAAGTTGTATGCGCCCATTGGCATGTAAACCGGTCAACCAGGGCATCAAAATATGTCCAAGAAATTTTAACTTGAGAATGGAAAAAGTGTTCTTCTATTTCTGTACTCGTATAAAAAACAACAGTGACTAGCATGGAAGACCAGAACTAGACTTTTTCAATATATCTAATAAGTAAGGGAAGTTTTGAGAATGAGAGAGACCGTGATATAATCTACTCCACTTCCAATTTTCTTTTCACATTGTGGATGATATGGAAGCACCCTTTCCAGGATTGTTCGCTCATGCTCAGGACTTAGCCTATCCCCACTTTCATACCTGTAATTAGAAAGAAAATCAGAAAAAGTGATCTACGGCCAAAAGTAACAACAAATATCATAATTTTCTTTCACATATTCATGAAGAAAGCAGGAGGTGGTATGCAGACAACCATATTATATTGCAATTATTATTTTTGAGTGAACAGAACAATGCAATTGGGACTGAAGAGGTTTGGTAGATGCAGCTCACCCCCAACTTTTAAGGCATAAGTACCGAACCTACACCGATTTGTATGAGAAATAATGTGTTTCTTGCCTGCACTGACACAGTGCTCGTTTCACCAAACATTTCCAAACAATTTATACCATAACTAAAACTTCAAAAATGATGTTAGCATTGGTGCAAGAAGTTTAACAAAAATGATAGGAGAGCAAAATTATCACTAAAAACTAGACGTGGAGTAATAGAATGTGCGCCAAAAGTATTACCCTAAATTTTGTCTAGAAGCTCCAAGAACACTCTGAAATCCGTCTGCAATTGACACTAACATTTCCACTCAGCTAATGCATCAACTTGACGAACCAGCTAATTAACAAAATGCATAACATTCAAATGGACAGTAAAACACCATGCTAATCAACCACAAACAGTTATTCCAAACATGGAGTGTGAAAAAGGATGGGCCTTGGAGCCGAAATTCTCAAATTTGCCTCGTTTCATCTTCTCTTAACCGATTCAAAAGACAAAATGAAGCATTTGATCCTGTAAAAAGAAAGTCTGAGAACTTGATCTCACCAAACTCAACAGAAAACAATCTCTATCCTTAGGCTGTGTATGGTTTTCTATTATTCGATATTGGAAGTGCATCTTACGGAAAACTAGTTGAATTTGAATAGAATAGCAATCCGCATTTTGCTGGAGAACCAAACACAGCTTTACTAAATTACCAATGACTTCATTCAGCATTCTCCCTAGAAATGCAAGCATAGTACTGGTAACATCGCTAAATTCGATTGAAAAATGTTACAATTTTACAAAAAAAAAAAAAATAAAAGCAATAAGCTGGGGAAAAAATGCAATTAAAGTACGAAAATGGAGAGCCTACTTTCCGGAATGAAGAATCATCCTGACAAAGTTAACAAGGGGAACTGTATCCTGCAAAATCTGGTCCTCCCAATCCACCCACGGTTCCACCTCCTCACCACCACTCCTGTACTTGTCATCCTCCTCCACGACGGAATCTTCCCCCTCCGACACAACCGCCGGAGAAACCACCGGCTTTCTCAACAACTGCGCACCGAACGAGTCGGAGCCCCGACCTTCTGAGCCGGTGGTTCTAATGGCAGCATAACGGCGCAATTGAGAGCGGTTATAAGGGTATAATTGGAAGGATAAAGAAGGAGGAGATAAAAGCAAGTTGGATGAGATAGAATTACTACCATGAAAAGGGGAAGAGTTCATAAATTTTGAGGAAGAAATTGAAGCCATTATCATTGTTTAATTTTTTTTTAAAAAAAATATATGTAATCGATGGATGAATCGTTATTATTGTTTAGCTTCAAGATCATCCATGGAGGTTGCTGTGTGTGGGCGGTCCCAAGGGAATGAATGTATGAAGGATAGAAGGAAGGGTAGCAGAAGAAAAAGCAAGCTGAGCTGAGCTAAGCCAAGCTAGTAAGCTGTGTTGGCGGGCTTGGATATTCATTCGGATAAAGTGGAGATTTTCGGGTTGGGACTTGGTTGGTTGGTTGGTCGGTCTATCATTTTCTGTTCTGTACACGCATGGGTCAATGTGGATTCGGGTACCATATGGATATCCGTATTAATTAGCAGCTGTGTTTGTGTTATTTAAGAAATTGTTATTGCTAAACAACACAAGAGAAGATCGCCAGATGTTTGATAATCCAAAGAAAGATTTCGTGGTCAAAGCCTCGTTCTAAAGCTAAACTTAATAGCATGAGTAAGACCCTCCCCGTTTGATAACCCAATTCAATACTTAAATTTAATGGATTCAGATCTTAACATGTTTAGATGTGTTTGATAACTAAAAAGTGAACATCTGAATTAATTAATTGGCACTGAATTTCCTAGACAAAACTTGTTCCAAAAAATAAGTGATAAACTATTCGCTTATTACTGAATGTGGTATAGACTCAAATGTACTAAATTTAATATTTAACAATTGAATAACTTAATGCATTTAGACTTCAGATCTTAGATTTCAATTTTCAAATTTCATTTTTTTTTATCAAACGCACTCTAACTCATCAGACCTTAAAATTGATTCTTCCTAAAGTACTTCAAAATTTGAGCAAGAAATATTAGTATTATCGGTGAACTCCAAACATAGATCATAAAACTTAACCTACAGCATATTTATTCCTTATGAGTATAGAAACCAGGTAATTGAAAAAGCTATGAGACACAATCATAATCTAAATTTGGGATTTCAAAATTTTGGGTGTCAAGGCTCTTCCAAATCGTACTGAATATTTCTAAATAGCATAATTAACCACTCCATTCTTACGTCTTTTTTTTTTTTTTTTCCCTTATACTCGCTTGTTTATTGTAGGCTTGCAGCCGCCTTCTGGATGGAGAGAGTCAGGATTGACCTTTTATTTATGCAGCAGTAGTATCTTGAGCGGGCAATTAAGCTGAAAATCTGTAGAGGTGTCATTATCAGGATCGACGAGTTAATTTCAATATGTTTGAACTAGCTGCAAATTAGCGTGTTATATTAGACTTCAAGTATGCAAAAGTCTTTTTTTTTTTTTTAAAAAAAAAAAAAGAGAAGGGCAGACGACTCTATATCCAGCCTATTTGGTCAACTGCTCGCTGGATCATCATCTCTCTTGATAGTTGTGGTTCGTTTTCTGATAGCAAAATGAGATGTCCTGTCATCATCATATTCTTTCTGGGCTTCTTTGCGACACTAATACTTGAATCAAAAGCAACAGCTGATGAGAAAAGCATCCAATATTGTCCCGTGAACCAACGGGCTGTAATGGGGAGTGTTGGTGGGATATTCGATCAGAGCTCTCGTGTGGGAAAGGAGCAAGCAATAGCGGTGGAGATGGCTGTCCATGATTTCAATCGCTGGTCACATTGTTCAAATCTGGCCTTGCATTCTCAAGATTCAAAAGGGAACTCAGCTCGAGCGGTTTCTGCTGGTGAGTTTCCTCTCCCCAACTCTTATCATCATCGGACACACTTATATAGGCAAATACATAAAACTTTTCCTCCTCACCATTTCCATATGAACTCGCCCGCTTGGTAAAGAGTTTGGCACTCATGCAGCAGCAAATTTAGTTTTGTTGCCTGAAATCGTGCAAGATTAGTTATAGATGGTGCTAAGAAGTGGAGACTACCAATTGTTAATTCAGACCTGAAATGAAAGGGCAAATTATATTGCAACGTACAATCCAATATTTATTTCCACAGTTTTTTTTTATGGCAAAACAATAGAACTACTTCTTTCAAGTCTAAATTGCATTTGGACTTTGGAAAGATAATGTTGGCATTTCATCCAACAATTACTGTAAAAATAAAAATTCAAACTGCGACATTCACACCAACCAAATGAAAGAGTTGACTACCATTTTACGTTTTGATTTACAAATAGTAGCTAACATGATGAGCACCAGTCGGCGACAAATTGAGCACCAGTCGGGCTGCATGCCCTTAACCAAAGGGTTTCTAAAAACGGGAAAGTAATTCGAAAGAAATGGCAACCAGTTTCAAAAGGGAGGAAGCTATACATATACTAGCAAATTACTATTTACTAGTTTCGAAAAGGGAGGAAGCTATATAGAATTCGACATGTAGGCAACTAGAACGCCATGAACATTTATGTGATCTACTTCGAGGTAATTTTTTTAATGTAGCCAGAAACTAATAATCTCCAAAAGTGAAATACTGAGCTTACCTGCCTTGCCATGTGATTTTTTTTTTTCCTGGCATCTAGTGACTGAGCTTGTAAACAAGAAGCAAGCGCAAGTCATAATTGGACAGCTGACCTTGCAAGAAGCAACTCTGCTTTGGGATTTTGACAAAGTCGCCAAAGACATCCCCGTCATTTCCACAGTTCCGACTGCCACCTCTCCACCCTTCCTACCTTCTCAGCCTCCATCCTTCATCAGGATGACTACTGATACTACTCTCCAAATGCAAGGAATTGCTGCCATAATTGGCCAGTTCAGGTGGCGGAGGGTGATTGCAGTTTATGAACATAGCAACAGCTTTTCTGCAGATTCCGGGCTCATCACTCACCTCGCTGACTCGCTCTGGGCCGTAGAGGCCGGCTTGGAATATTATTCAGCTTTCCCTCGCGTAGTTTCTCAGACAAACCCACAAAAATTCATTGAGGAGGAGCTGAGCAAGCTCAGAACCAAGAACATCAAGGTCTTTACTGTCTTACAGGCTTCTCTAGAGTTTGCAGTGATGCTTTTTGAGAAGGCTAAAAAATTGGGCATGATGAACAAGGGTTATGTATGGATTGTGATGTCTGATGTGGCGAACCTTCTTGACTCCGTTCAGTCATCGGTGTTGCTCAATCATATGCAAGGTGTAATTGGATTGAAAACCAAGTATTTGGACACTAGTGATTCTTTTCGAACATTCGAGCTGAGGTTTAGAAGAAGATATGGATCAGAATATCCTGAAGAAGAAAAGCATTCTAGTCCAAGCATATACGCTCTTCAAGCTTACGATGCAACATGGGCACTTGCCAAGGCAATACAAAAATCAGAAAAAAATGGTCTACAAAATTCTACTAATTTAGGTAATTCCATTTTATCTAGTAATTTTGAGGGTCTGAGTGGAATAGTAAGCTTCAAGAATGGTGCTTTATTGCAGAAGCCTGTCTATCAATTAGTGAATGTGATTGGTAAAAGCTACCAAGAGATAGCAATATGGTCACCTGATGAATTTGGTTTGTCGGAGGACCGGATTAAAGGTGATGGAACGAATATTAGAATTGGACATGAATATGGCAAAACGTGGGATTTGGGTACAATTATTTGGCCAGGTGGTCAGTTGGCAGTTCCCAAGGGAATGGAATTGGGTAGCACTGCAAAACCTTTGAGAATTGGAGTCCCCGCAAAAGGTGCATTTAATCAGTTTGTGAATGTTACTTTTGACCAGCTTAGCAATGAAACAACCATCACTGGATTTACCATCCAAGTGTTCGATGCTGTAGTCAAGCGCTTACCTTACCACTTGCATTATGTGCTAGTCCCATATAGCGGTTCGTATGATCAAATGGTGGATGAAGTCCACAATAAGGTACTGCTCTAACCAAAATAGTTCAGTTTGACCATGTAACTGTGGATTAAGTACAGTCTACCTTTAGTATTTTTCCATTGAATATATAGACATTAAATAGTAGAAAAAGAATGAGAAAGTGTTCAAAGTTCAAACGGATGGACACTAATCTAGTTATTTGGCTATAAAGAGCTTTTATGCAGCAATAGGTGACATAGAAATAATGGCGAACCGATATGAGATTGCAGACTTCTCGCAGCCCTATTTGGATTCTGGCCTTGTCATGGTGGTCGCTGTAAAACCAGACACTATAGCAACGAAAATTCTTGTTCTAAAAGCATTCAAGTTGAGCATGTGGACGATTATGGCTGCAATGACCATGTACACAGGGGTGACAATTTGGTTATACGAACATGCAAATGAGAATCCAGATTTTGGAGGAACGTTCCCTCAAAATATTAGGACCATGCTCTGGTATTCTGTTACCGTTCTATCTTTTGCTAATAGTAAGTTGATTCCTACTTGAAAATATCTATCATTTGGAGGACTATTCAATGTACATTTATCTTTAATTTGAGACATATTTTCGTTGAGGCTTCACAAATTTCACTTAAACTTTGATGGGGAGATTTCTACAAGGATTTTAGATCATTAAGACAAGACAGAATGGTTTATTGACGTTTATTTGGCAAATGATCATTTACAGGAGAAACTATCAGGAGCAATTTATCACGCCTGGTGCTGCAAACATGGTTATTTGTCACTCTGGTTGTGACAGCATGTTTTACTGCATCGGTTACTACCTTGATGACTAGTCCGAGGAACAAACCATCTATTGGAGACATCGATTATCTACTAGCCACAAATGCACCTGTCGGGTGCAATGGGAATTCTTTCATTGATCGTTTCCTGATCGATGCTCTCCACTTTAGGCCTGAAAATATCAGGAAAATTGGGTCCTTAAGTGAATATCCTGGAAAATTTGAAAGCGGAGAGATAAAAGCAGCCTTTTTTGTTGCCCCCCATGCCAAAATCTACCTAGCCGAACACTGCAAAGGCTATACAATGGCAGGCCCCAGCATCAAACTCGGTGGCTTTGGATTTGTAAGACCGAACTTTAATCCAGTCTTGAGTCTTGACACATTTCATTTCGTAATATTAGTTGGTTCAATTCTGCTTCTACATGATGGAGTTAATTTATTGATCCTTACTAATACACTGGCGATGAGATATTTGTTGATGATAATAATATGTCAGACAGGTTAATAAGCTCTTTTCTAGACCATCTGCTAAAGATCGAGCTCCATCACCCACTATGTGTCTTGAAAGGGGAAAAAAAAAAAAAAAAACTGCACTTACTATCAAGCATGACATGATCATTCAATCTTGACACATTTTGTACTGATAAACAGAAGAATAATGGTTCTGTTTATTTAATATTTTCTATGTATTGATTCTCTTTTGTTGCCCCTTTAATTTGTGTTTGACCTGTATATCTTCTGCTCTAAGCTGGGCTCATTTACAATTTCCTCGTTTTGGTCTCTCAGGTCTTTCAAAAGGGTTCTCCTTTGGCTGCTGATATTTCAGAGGCCATTTTAAAAGTAACGCAGACGGGAACCATAGATGAATTGGAGAAACACATGTTTTCGTTTTCAACATGCTCTTCTTCATCCACGGGAGGGGATCACGATCAAGGCCAAGGCCCTGATGGAGTAGGTATTGAACCTTTCTTTGTTCTTTTCCTAGTTTCGGGCGGCCTTCTTGCACTTGCATCTCTGAACGCAATCCTCCGCCTACTGAAAAAGCACTTGGCCAATCATGGCTTTATAAACGGAAGAGTCCTTCGGTGGGCGTCACTGCTTCTTGCTCGAGCTTTCACAAAATCTGGGACAACCCTTTTGAGGAAAACCCCAATTATTCAGAGACCGAATAACGAAATAAATATGCATCGTAATGAACTGGAGCCAGATTTGAGGGCCATTGAGCTAGCAACCAACGTTCTCAGTTAAGTTCTTTCCTCCTAATTATGTGTAGAGTTCACAATTTCTTTGTTTCAGATCATCCAATTTATGATAAATACTGTTGTATGAAATGTATAGACGTCTTTATTAATTAAAAAAAGGATAGGAATCTGAAGGAGGACTTTTGTTTTTCTTGAAAAATGTTAATGCTACTCCTTTATTTGTTACCAACATTTTTTTTTTTTTTGTTTTGGATCTTTGACAATGTGAACTGGACAAGTTCCATTTAAATTCACAATCAAAACAAAGGTTATGGCCATGTTTATCGTTTCACATCAGTAAAGCAAGCAGTCAGCCAGGAGGAATGACATTAATATTTCTGTCTCTTTCTTTTCTTTTCTTTTTTTCCCCTGAGTTCCGCCTATTTTCAAAGTATCCAAAATCTATTCCATAATGGAAAAACATACGTGAACTTTCTAGACTATATCAAGATTGGCTGGTATGTAAACCATCTGTTATCATTTTCAAGAACTTTGCTAAGCGAAAGAATTATCAACAATATATGGTCATAACTTCACAGATGATTTTTGTGAGACAAGAACCTCAAGTGCCATCGGGCAACACGAGAGCCAAGAGATAAAATCCTTGACTAAGTAATTGGATCTCCCAGAAACCAAAACATCCACAAGCATTGGGACATTAGCAAGCACTAGAGTTTCTGCTTTAGTAATTTTAAGTGAGATTAGGTTCGTATCACAGAAAGTGAGGGTTTCTAAATGGGAAGGTCATCTCCAAATTCTTCAATGCTGAGACATGAAGACTTGTCAAAACTTGAGAGCCATGCACTTGTAGAAGCTCGAGAAATGGGCTCCCGTGCATGGTTCAAAGTGGCGACCGCGGTCACGGTCTGAACCGTTTCACATCGGTTTCGACATATCGATTTTGGTCTCGGCGAGACGTGAATTTTTGAAATATTTAATATGCTAAAAATTGTAAAATATATGATAAACAAAAATAATTAAAAAATTAGTAAAAATAATAATAATTCAAGTTGATTTGGAGTGATTTGGTATAACTCGACCGTTTCAAGTCGTCACGGTCTCAGCTGAGTCTTCGAACCATGCTCCCGTGCAAGAAGAATTCAAGAACTTCCCTAGTCACATAAACATTAATCAAATTTCAGTGTTTTGAGTGGCTTAAAATCAACCACTTCATGAGGATGACTGCTCAGGCCGAGGGATCCAAGCCAAAACGTATAACCATTTGAGGGAACACATAAATTCTCGCCGTTCTCTAACAAGTTCAATTCTAGCCTTTGCTCTCTCCTTGCAAGTGCATCCTGAATCCATTTGTCAATCTCAACTTGAGAAGACTTGTCCAAATTAAAAAAAAAAAACCCTAAATTCATCCAGTGTCAAGGCTTTGGATGGTTGCAGTACATTGTCTACCCATTAAACATACTTGCACCTTTCCCTTTTGCGGAACCTGCTATGGTTTGATGTATCAGCTAGGGCTGCCAACTTGTCTAACACTACAGAAGCATCAAAATCAAGCCAAGGAACGCGCATCCACAGATCTATCCAACGTTTTGAGAGAATACTTGTTCTAGCAGCTTCTTTAAGTGTCAGGAAAGACGGGATGCGATGCGAACAAGAACTTCCAGTTGATAGTTCGCCAATCAGATCCTTCAAGACTTGCTCTTTGTTTCCACACTATTAAGTGAGGGAAGAAGAAAATTTATAAAAGTTGCAGTAATTTAGAGCAAAATCGTTGGATGAATAGCAGAGCTCCACAAATACAGTAAACAAAAGAAAATTTATGTTATTTAGGTTGATCCAAGGCCTTACCTTCGCCAGTCCATTCGTCGGTCCAAATGTTTTAAGCAGCACCCCCCCTTAGACCCATCAAGATTTAAACTTTCTGCTAATTTTCCTTCCTGCTCCTTATCAAACTTCCTTGCAGACTCAAAATTCAATGTTACCCAAAAAAGTTATCAAATTTGTGCATCAAAGGGAAAGGAAGCACAGTATTAGGCCTTGAACTGACCAAAGTGTAGTAAATTTCAATATAAAAACGTTACCCTCCTCGGAAAGAAAAGGTAATATTACATAAAATAAGACCAAGTAGAGAGGTTTCCAGAGTAAATAGCCTACTAAACAACTAAGGATGCCAGAAGTGTAAGCATGGCAGGAGCCAAAATTATATCCAAGTAATAAAAACTCGGTCTTGGCATTGGAAAACAAAGCCAGTGATAAAATTGGCATCAGAATAGAATACCCTAATGATAAGATTTGATCTTTGGCATGACCTCTAAATTAAAGCATACTGCAAAAACAATATCAACCTAAACGTGAAACACAGATCCGAAAATTAATGACAAAAGCAACAAAAGAACACAATCCACAAACCATCAAGTGCTAGTACCCCACAACCAACCAAGTTCTAGTACGAAGGTCAGAGACCTTCAAATAATTAGAATTTCATCTTTCTTTTTTATCATAATTCAAGGCAACAAGGGGAAAAAACGACAAAGATCGATACAAAGAAAAACATGAGTTAAAAAAAATTGAGAAATTTTAAATCCCAAAGAAACGAAATATGGTGCAATGGCTATTGGCTAAGGCCCCCAAACAAAAAAAAAAAATTTAACAACTAGATTTTATCCTTCCTTTTTTATACCAAAAAACTTCAACTCCCTAATGCTGATGTTTCAAAATTTTTATGGTACCAGTTTCGAAGTTAATCGGAATTGAGTCCGTAGGAACTTGGGAGTTCAAACACAGCACCATCAGATGCCAAGGGAAGACAAAGTGGATTCCTAATGGCCTCTTCTTCAAGCTTGCAAAGGATGCAGGAACAGAAATACGAAGCAGAAGAACGAACCGATGAAAATAACGACAATCACACAATCTCAGACTCTGTGCATCCTTAAAAATCATAAACTGTACGGATCCTTAAATTACCATGGATTGGACTGAAGCCGTTCTTCCTGAAACATGCAAATAACAACAACCCAGAGTTCAGAAGGCCATTCCCTCGTAACATCGGGCCCATGCTTTGGTTTGCTGTTACCATTCTATCATTTGCTCAGAGTAAGTTTCACTGATTACACTCCAATCAAAAAAGGCTTTTTAATGAAAGAAGACTTTCTAATCTAAGGATATATAGTAACAATTTTTTGACGCAAAATTATCCCTTTACAGGAAAATCTATCAGAAGCAATCTGTCATGGCTGGTGCTTAGCAACATGGTTGTTTGTCACGGTGGTTGTGACGACATGTTTTAGTACAGCTGTTACTTCATGGATGACTGTTCCAAAGATTGAACCATCTATAGTCGAAATCGATTATCTATTAGGGACCGATGCACCTGTTGGCTGCAATAACAATTCCTACATCGGTCGTTTCTTGACAAATGTTTTGCAATTCAAGCCAGAAAATGTCAGGCCAATTGGGTCCATCAGCCATTACCCTGAAGCTTTCCAGAGGGGAGACATCAAAGTAGCTTTCTTGGCAGCCCCACATGCCAAAGTCTTCCTTGCAAAGTATTGCGAAGGCTACTCCGTAGGAGGGCCCAGATTCAAACTTGGTGGCTTTGGATTTGTAAGATTAGTAGTAAGATCCAGATCCCAGTCAAATTCATTGTGTTTTAACATATTTATTCCTATATTAACTTATCTTAGCTGGGCTCATCACGGTATTCGTTTTTTTTTTTTTTCTGGTCTCAGGTCTTCCCAAAGGGTTCTCTTTTGGCTGATGATATTTCAGGGGCTATTCCAAAGATAACATTGACAGAAACGATCGATCAAATGGAAAAAAGCACGCTTTCATCTCTAAACTGCTCTTCATCAGCGGGGAAGATAATCAAGGCCCTAGTAAAATAGGCACCGAACCTTTTCTTTTTCTGTTCCTAGTATCAGGCAGCCTTCTTGTGGTTGCATTTGTGAATGCAGTTGCACGTCTACTGGAAAGGCATTGCTCGATTTTTGACTGTATACAAGCATCATTGATAAACAGAAAAGCTCTTCACAAAATTTGGAACAAGAAATTTAAGGGTTCCTAACATGCACAGACATTCAAGGGATCGAGACAAATCAGGAGCAGGATTTTTGCTATGATCTCAAACCTAGTTAGTAAAGAGGATAGCTTTTATGAACATGGTAATCAGAAATTATATGCCAGCTTTTCTCGTGCCCCGTGTCACTCATCTTGCTGTTGCATAATATTTGAAGGTGTCATGTTTTCAACCTCACAATGAGCTTTCCGTGGAGAATTCTACTTCACGTCATTGTTCGCTGGAAATTGCTGGACAGTGATCCTTTAATGAAGGTTGCAAGGTCCAGTGGTCGTTTTGTGCTGTAGGACCAGTTGTAGTCCACAATGTACCAAGACAGTGAAAGCCTAGGAAATTGAAACAGCCAAAAAGAAAAGAATGCAGCGGTGCTTACCGTTTACTATGGCATTGGTCAATTTGTTTTAACGGCCGCAGGGTATAATTGGAAAGAAAACGAAGAAGGAGATAAAAGCAAGTGGGATGAGATAGACCTTTTTTTTTTTTAAGAGATAGTTACTATGAAGAGGGGAAGTGTTAATAAATTTTTGGGAAGAAATTGAAGCCATTAGCATTTAGAATTTTTTTTAAAAATATTTTTGGGTATTGGATGAATTACTATTCTTTAGCTTCAAGATCATCCATTGAAGTTGTTGTTTATTGGTGGTCCGAACTAGTCAAGTGAATGATAGATAGAAGAAGGGTAGTAGAAGGCTGCGGGCTGGATATGTTCGGATAAAGGGGAGATTTTCTGATTGGGTGGTCTATTTTCTGTGGATGAATTCGGGTACTAGGTGCATTTCCGGTAATAAATAGCCTTGGCGTTTTTTCTTATATATATATATATAATTTTTTTTCTATTAGTTAAGAAATCATTCTTGCTATATGCTAAACAACACAAAATAAGATTTTTTTTTTTTTAGTTTCAAACAAGAAAGGGGTGGAAATTAAAAAGCGAGAAAAGGATTGGGGATTTGAACTCATAATCTCTAATTTTTAAAATCTCAACCTTTAAAAGAAAATTGCTAGATAGAAATAAAAAGATAAAATACTGACAAGATATAAACTAATAGTTAAGAGTTTTTTTTTCGTAAAATTAAAGCATTTGAAACCTTCCTATTCTCCTTAAAATAAATATCTTAAATGAAATGTATACATATCTCCAAATCAAAGGGATGCTCATTTGAAGGACGTTTTTTTTTTTTCCTTAAGTGTCTATAATCTATTCCATATAGAAAAAAAAAAAAGATATGTGAACTTTCTAGACTACATCAACACTTGCTAATATGTGAACCACCTCTTATAATTCTCTAGAACTCAACTCTATTAAGCAGAAAAAAAAAAATCTAGTAAGCAGAAGAATTTTCAAAGTTGGTTTTAACCTTATAAATGACTTTCTTGAAGAGAACTTCCATGCATATTATTCAGAATAAGTCAGAAAAATTCTAAATTCTCGTCAAATTAAAAGGAAGGGAATATTTTGACGACTAAACAATTTTGTACTTTTAAAAAGGAAAAATTAAACATAATGCCCTCTAATTTTGCATTTTGCTACATAACTCCCTTAAAATTTTAAAATATCCACATAGCCCCTATAATTTCATGTAAAGTGAATGATAGATGGAAACCATCACTGAATAAGGTGATTGAACCAAACGCACTCCAAAAATATATGCGAGGGAGTCATAATATCTACTTAGCTCTCCTATGATTTGCATAAATATTCACATTACTCCCTTATAATTTTTGCATATATCTACATTATTTTCATATAGTTTTATACAAAGTAGTTAGGCCATTATTCAATTTAGTACTTAAGTAAGTGCAATACCGACATTTAAACTAATGACATTGCGGATGTTATTTTCCCTCATATTTTCACTTTACATGAAACTATAGTGGAGTTATGTGGATATTTTGAACTATCATGTAGGTCATGTGGTTATGCATGACCACAGGGGGTCATATGTAGTTTAGCCCAATAACATATGAAAAATAAAAGAACACATAGTATTAATGAAAAGGGAAAAAATTGATTGTACGAGATGGGTAGATTGTCCTCAAATTGTAACCCATTTTCATTTTTATGAATAACATGATACTAGTGCTTTGAACTACTTTATAAATGATAGATGTGTTATCTTATCTGATTGTAATTAGTATGAAACTTAATCACTATAAATGATGTCACAAGGTGAGCTGCTGCATTAGTTTCACTATCTATAGTTGCAATAACATTAACACCCTTACTTGAAAGAAAAAATTAACAACATCCTTAATTAGTTACTTATTCCTGCTTCTCCATTTTGAGCCTACTTCCAGGAAAGGTAGAGCCTTCTGGATTGATCTTTGCCAATGAGAAAGTTAAGCTTGAACTGGTCTAGCGAATATGGTTGAACACACAGAACTTGGTGATGGGGATCGAGTTTACATATGTGATATGACTACTTTGGATGGTATTATATTCCTATGAAACGAGTCCTAAGTTTTGGCATTCAAAACATAAACGACGGTTTGACTCAAATTAGTTGAAATAGAAGTCCTGTTAGACTCATTTATTTTTCTCTATTTAAATTACCGCATTTTTATTACCCAAAAAAAAATCCCTTTTATATATATAATCATGTAACAAGAGCACAAATGCAGACTCAAGTAATTTGTGATTCTGAATTGTGAAAGCATTTTTTTTAGTCTCAAGAGAAGGGAGAAAGAAAAAAAATTTAAACAAAAAATTTCATGATCACTTGACTGATATATTCTTTCCTGCTGAATTAAGTCTTAGGTTAATCTGTATCAGTTTTTCAAGCATTTCATTTAAACTTGAAATATCTGTTTAATCATTACAAAATTTCCATGAAGTTTCCTAATTGAGCTCAAGGAGGAGGTGTCATCATCAAAGCAGTTGTACTCTCTTTTTAAAGTTATTTTTAATCTGTTCAGCTCAATCGTGCCAATAATAGATTCTGTCATGCTTAGGGTTTAGAAAAATGATCAACCACATCACTCATGCCAAGTAAATTGATCGTTGGCCGCCTGTTGTCCATGACTGAGTATTCGGTGCCTGTGGTCAGTCTCCTCGTTGTTCAAAGATGGTTTCTCATATTCAAGATTCAGAATGTCAAGTAAATAACCGATATCGCTGCTCAGCGCAAGCAGCTCCTGCTGAACCAACTCCTAATAGAGGAATTGGCCACCACATTAATCATGGGGTGGAAGATCAAGGGTTCAAACTTTGTCTCCCATCAACATGACTCTATATGAGATTTGTTCTAAAAAATTCACACGAGTGTGTGGTGCATCCATCTGGTCTGATGATGGTTCAACCTCCGTCTGGTCTGATAGTGGTTCAATCCCCATCAGGTTCCCTCCGACTCAGTTGAGCCACCTCTTAGAGTAGGTTTCCCCCTTCCTCCCAAGTAGGAATAGTAGTAGATTAGACAAAACTAGATGTGGCGTTGCATAAAAAAAAAAAAAAAAAAGCAGCTGCTGCTGGTTACAAAATTCTAATGAGCCATTTTGCTTTCTGAAAATGCTCGTCATTATCATTATCCACGATATGTATTGTTTAATTAATGCCATGGCTGAAACAGGACTTGCATATATATACAGTAAGGGTGGTAATTAAGGGTTGTACAGACATTAATTTAATAACAGCCATATCACAGTATGTCCAACAATTATTTCAAAGAATAGATTAGGTAAAAGGAAAACAGAAAAAGACGCGTAGAGTACTTTTCTCTGTACCAATTTTTCTCTAAAGCTTTTAGCGCCTTTGACCCGATTTTGGTAATTTCCAATTCTTCATGCCTCTCCAACTGTTGTTTTGACCTTGTTTAGCAAAGGAAATAACAGTAGTTAAGTTAGCTAGCGGAAATTGCATCAGAATTCAGAGCTACCAGAAAGTCCTTAGAGCTCATCAAAGGAGTAATTAAGAGGGGTCATTATCAGGAATTTTTCATTGCTAAATGTATTTGAATATATAAGTCAAGAAGGCCAACTCATTTGATCGTCATTTGCCCTTCATTTCAGTCGGGAAGGTCTGTTCTTCTTCTTTAATAGCACAATGAATCTTCCTGTCATTCTGTCATTGTTGGGTATCTTTCCATTAATGGCCAAATCAGAAGTAAGTGCTCAAGGGCGAAACGTGCAGTATTGCTCAATAAACCACCACCACGAAATTGGGAGCATAGGAGTGGTCGTTGATCAGAGTTCTCGTGTAGGTAAGGAGCAAAAAATAGGCGTGGAGATGGCAGTCCACGACTTCAATCGGGAGTCACATTGTTCAAAGGTGGATTTGCATATTCAAGATTCACAAGGGAACTCAGCTCGAGCAGCTTCTGCTGGTAATATGCTTCCCCAACCAATATAGCCAACCATTTTGATCACTACATAATACACTATTCTTTTACAAATTGATGCTAAAGTGGGGAAAAACTGGCACATGAGTCGCCCGTTTATCAGTTTATGTGGAGCAAACTTTTGCAGGTCAAAATGTTTCGCGGTTATCGTTTATGGTCTTGAGTCTCGAGTCTTG